CAACCACAATGCTCTGAAACTATATATCAATTACAGGAAGAAATCTGTAAAATATACAAACACATGGAGGGAAACAGTACACTACTAAATAACCAGGAGATCACTGAAGAAATCAAAGAGGAAATAAAAAATACCTAGAAACAAATGACAATGAAAACACGATGTTCCGAAACCTATGGGATGCAGCAAAAGCAGTTCTAAGGGAGAAGTTTATAATCCCTCTTACAAGATGTATAAGAAGTTGTATAATCCTACCTCAAGAAACAAGAAACATCTCAAATAAACAACCTAAACTTACACCTAAAGCAATTAGCGAAAGAAGAACAAAAGAACCCCAAAGTTAGCAGAAGGAAAGAAATCATAAAGATCAGAACAGAAATAAATGAAAGAAACAAAACAATAGCAAAGATCAATAAAACTGAAATCTGGTTCTTTGAGAAGGTAAACAAAATTGATAAACCATTAGCCATCAAGGATAAAAGGGAGAAGACTCCAATAAATAGAATTAGAAATGAAAAAAGGAGAAGTAACGGGCTTCCCTGGTGGCGCAGTGGTTGAGAGTCCACCTGCTGATGCAGGGAGCACGGGTTCGTGCCCCGGTCCGGGAAGATCCCACATGCCGCAGAGCGGCTGGGCCCGTGAGCCATGGCCGCTGAGCCTGCGGGTCTGGAGCCTGTGCTCCACAACTGGAGAGACCACAGCAGTGAGAGGCCCGCGTACTGCAAAAAAAAAAAAAAAAAGAATCACCTGCCAATGCAGGCAGGGGACATGGGTTCGAGCCCTGGTCCAGGAAGATCCCACATGCCGTGGAGCAGCTAAGCCCGTGCACCACAACTACCGAGCCTGCGCTCTAGAGCCCACATGCCACAACTATTGAGCGCATTTGCCACAACTACTGAAGCCTGTGTGCCTAGAGTCCGTGCTCCACAAGAGACACCACCGCAATGAGAAGTCTGTGCACTGCAATGAAGAGTAGCCCCCGTTCACCGCAACTAGAGAAAGCCTGTGCACAACAACAAAGACCTGATGCAGCCAAAAGTAATAAATTAATAAAATAAATAATTTTTTTTAAAAAAGAAAGAAAAACGAAGTAACAACTGACACTACAGAAATAAAAAGGATCATGAGAGATTACTGCAAGCAACTATATGCCAATAAAATGGACAACCTGGAAGAAATGGACAAATTCTTAGAAAAGCACAAAGTTCTCAGACTGAACTGGGAAGAAATACGAAGTATAAACAGAGCAATCACAAGCACTGAAATTGAGACTGTGATTAAAAATCTTCCAACAAACAAAAGTCCACAACCAGATGACCTCACAGGTGAATTCTATCAAACATTTAGAGAAGAGCTTTCCTTCTCAAACTCTTCCAAAATACAGCAGAGGGAGGAACACTCCCAAACTCATTCTATGAGGCCACCATCACCTTGATACCAAAACCAGACAAGTATGTCACAAAGAAAGAAAACTACAGGCCAGTATCACTGATGAACATAGATGCAAAAATCCTCTACAAAATACTAGCAAACAGAATCCAACAGTACATTAAAAGGATCATACACCATGATCAACTGGGGTTTAACCCAGGAATGCAAGGATTCTTCAATATATGCAAATCAAACAATGTGATACACCGTATCAACAAATTGAAGGAGAAAAACCATTTGATCATCTCAATAGATACAGACAAAGCTTTTGACAAAATTCAATGCCCATTTATGATAAAAACCCTCCAGAGGATAGGCATAGAGGGAACTTACCTCCACATAATAAAGGCCATATATGACAAACCCCCAGCCAACATCATTCTCAATGGTGAAAAACTGAAACCATTTCCTCTAAGATCAGGAAGAAGACACGGTTGTCCACTCCCACCACTATTATTCAACATAGTTATGGAAGTTTTAGCCACAGCAATCAGAGAGAAAAAAGAAATAAATGGAATCCAAATAGGAACAGAAGAAGTAAAGCTGTCACTGTTTGCAGATGACATGATACTATACATAGAGAATCCTAAAGACTCTTCCAGAAAACTACTAGAGCTAATCAATGAATTTGGTAAAGTAGCAGGATACAAAATTAATGCACAGATATCTCTTGCATTCCTATATGGAAATGATGAAAAATCTGAAAGAGAAATTAAGGAAACACTCCCATTTACCACAGCAACAAAAAGAATAAAATTCCTCAGAATAAACCTATCTGAGGAGACAAAAGGCCTGTATGCAGAAAACTATAAGACGCTGATGAAAGAAATTAGAGATGATGCAAACAGATGGAGAGATATACCATGTTCTTGGGTTGGAAGAATCAATATTGTGAAAATGACTATACTACCCAAAGCAATCTACAGATTCAGTGCAATCCCTATCAAACTACCAATGGCATTTTTCACAGAACTAGAACAAAAAAATTCACAATTTATATGGAAACACAAAAGATCCCAAATAGCCAAAGCAATCTTGAGAAGGAAAAATGGAGCTGGAGGAATCAGGCTCCCAGACTTCAGACTGTACTACAAAGCTACAGTAATCAAGACAGTATGGTACTGGCACAAAAACAGAAATATAGATCAATGGAACAGGATAGAAAGCCCAGAGATAAACCCACGCATATATGGTCACCTTACTTTTGATAAAGGAGACAAAAATATACAATGGAGAAAAGACAGCCTCTTAAATAACTGGTGCTGGGAAAACTGGACAGCTACATGTAAAAGAATGAAATTAGAACACTCCCTAACAGCATACACAAAAATAAACTCAAAATGGATTAAAGACCTAAATGTAAGGCCAGACTATTTACAATAGCCAGGACATGGAAGCAACCTAAGTGTCCATCGACAGATGAATGGATAAAGAAGATGTGGCACATATATACAGTGGAATATTACTCGCCATAAGAAGAAACGAAAATGAGTTATTTGTAGTGAGGTGGTTGGACCTAGAGTCTCTGATACAGAGTGAAGTAAGTCAGAAAGAGAAAAACAAGTACCGTATGCTAATGCATATATATGGAATGTAAAAAAGCAAACAAACAAAATGGTTCTGAAGAACCAAGGGGCTGAAGAAGAAAAAAGACACAGACGTAGAGAATGGACTTGAGGACACAGGGAGGGGGAAGGGTAAGCTGGAATGAAGTGTGAGAGTGGCATGTACATATATACACTACCAAATGTAAAATAGATAGCTAGTGGGAAGCAGCTGCATAGCACAGGGAGATCAGCTCGGTGCTTTGTGACCACCTGGAGGGGTGGGATAGGGAGGGTGAGAGGGAGACGCAAGAGGGAGGAGATGTGGGGGTATATGTATGTGTATAGCTGATTCACTTTATTATAAAGCAGAAACTAACACACCATTGTAAAGCAATTACACTCCAATAAAGATGTTTAAAAAAAAAAAGGGGAACAGTTAATGAAATAGTTAACCCTGAGCCTTTTATTAGTTTTGATGAAGAGTGAAAGTCATGGGAAAATGTAGTAGGACAGAGGGTCTGAGCTAAGGGTGGGAAGCTTTGGGGAACTTAGTGAGGCCTGTTCATTCGGATTCCCCTTGGTGTCCATCTCTGAGATAAGGATGCTCCTTTCCTCTGGGTACAGAGAGGGCATCTCTCCCATGAGGTTCTTATGACTGCTTCAGGGAGGAAGCACCTGCACCAGCCATTTCTCAAATTCTTTCCACTTAAAATATTCAGTTTGCCATATTTTGGGATAGCACATTCTGAACTCCAGCAGACTTTAATTATGGTATAAGATTCCTCACAGCTTCAGGGAAATAAAATTAGAAAATATTTGCCTTGGAAATTTGCATCCTTAGCAGTGAGATGTTAGGTGTGGCAGAGTAAGGAAGAATTAAGTAGTTTTCTCATGACCTGGGAAAAAATGTGATGTTTCAGACAGACTGAAAGCACCCCAGGGGCGGGGGTATGTCTTGCTTCTCCTCCCCAGTACCTGGCTGAGAGCTGGGCACCCATGGGTGTCAGGATGTTCTCATTTCAAAGTTATCAGCCATCTGGGCTTACTTTTTTCCATTACATCTGGACCTCACCAGCTGTTCCTCACTTTTCTTCCTTCTGTGTCTTCCTCCATCTGGGAAAGTGAACACTGCACGAAGTCTCTCTTCAAAGTCGAAGGTAATAGGACAGACAGACCCTTTTCAAGTTCTAAACAGAAATTGCCAAGTTTAAATCACATTCTGAGAAGTGAGAGAGACTTCCTCTATATACACGTAGAAAAGTGACATTCACATGCCCTGGCTTGATTCTTCAAAGCCGACGTTTTGGCATTGACGGTGCTCAGAGCCGTGAGTGACGTGCACGATGGGTAAGGAAGTGAGGAGGTACCATCAGCACAGTCTTGACCAGAAGTGGAAACAAACTTCTGGATTCTGAAACCTCCAGCTTACATCAGTGAAGGAACTTAATTCTCAATAAAAAGTAACAGCAACCTTTCATCAAATATAGGTCACAACTGCACTGTTACAAAGATGTGAGATTCAAGGTTTATAACTTTCCCTTCTTTCTGTAGAAATATATATTTTCCTAAATCCATATATTATTAATAACCCATAAAATGTTAACTTCACCGAAAAATGCATTATTAACAACATAATCTGTGCAATACACACATTGGTTTTCTCCAGACACTTTATTTAGAAAACCCAAGCTCCCTTTTTCCTGATGTTGGTGAAAGAGACCATTCTACAGTTGTTGATTTGTAATGATTCATGAACTTTGTAGTCAAGGAGTCAAGACAGAATCAATAATTCTGTCAAAAAAGCAAGATTTCAAACCAAAGATTGCTCCCCAAAGTTGAGACAGCAGAGGACACTGTAGGAGTAGTATGTCTTTAGAAATGTACTACATGGTTTCTGGTTTTGTTTTTGTTTTCTGTGGGCACTTTTAAAAATAGGATCTAAGGTCCTGGAACCACTGTAAGGCCCACCACGGGGATGCTATTGTGGTCTCCCATGTATGCGCTCAAAGACATCGTGAAAAGATCAGTAGTAACAGTCGACCCGTTGCCTTGAGCGTGTGGACCATTTTCCACTTTAAAACAATGAGCTGGCTTTGCTCTTTGCTGACAGCGCCGCGTGTTATCAACTCTATGAATTTTCAGAAATGGTTGCTGTTAGAAGATGCACAACGTAATCCAAATCTCTGAAGGGAAAGAAGGAAGCTGTTGCCTTCCAGATTCACTTGCTCCTCTTGTGGGGCTCCCAGGATCTGGAAAAATCTCATTCCCACTGCCTCTGAGCACGTCGCCCTGGGAAGGGCAGCTCCCACATATGGTTTGAATTCAATTAGCCAGATCCTCTGAGAGGCACTAGGGTATCGCTGAGGACATGACTTCTTGAATTCTCATTTGCAGCCTCGCAAATAATGTTCAAAAGTCATTAGACCAGAGAGAGTTTTCATTACCCTTCATTCGAGTCAACAGCCATCACTCATGGATCGAGTGCCTCCTTGGGGTACCATGGGGGTAAGCCAGAGGGGATGCAGGGCGGAAAACCAAAGTGGCTGGAAGAAAACATATAGATACATAATGTATAAGCATGTGGAAGGCAAAACCTCTCAGATGAAGGCAAAGGAAGAAGCATTTCTATAAATGTTGAGCTGTAGTAAAAAAAAAAAAAAAAAAAAAAAGACAGATTTGATGGTACAAAATGAGAAACTGTTGAATGTCAAAAGACACTGTAAGCAAAATATAAACGGTGAATAGCAAAGTGGGACAAATGTTTGAGCTACATGACAAAGGGTAATAGCCTTTACGAAGGCTTCATGCAGGTCAATGAAGGAAAAAACACTCTAATAGGAATATGATGAAAGGACACCGACGGGCCCTTTACAGAAGAAAGGGAAACGGTCACGAAACTCGCACAAATGCTAAACATCGAGTATTCGAAGAAATGCCATTAAAACTGTTAGCTGAAAACCGGGTTTACCTCTTGTTGGGTGTCGAGCTAAAAGACACAACCACAATTAGGAGAAGGAAGGATTTCTTATTTGCAGCCAGTAAGGAGAACACCGGGGGTCTTTCCCAAAGCAGTGTCTCCCCCAAACAGCAAACTGGGGAACTTTTAAGCTAAGGGTACGTGCATGTTCGTGAAGGGGCTTGAGCAGGGGAGAACTCAGCCTAGAATTGGGGCGGAGGTCAACAGAGTCCAGTCTTTGGTTGAGTGAAGTCTGGAGGGTCAGCACCATAGTTCCGTCCTCCCCCTGAGTGGGGGCCTGAGTTCCTGCAGAACTCAGAGACTGGGTCAGATGTCACGTACGTCCCTTGAGGAGGAGCTAGGACTGTTTTATCTCTGACCTCTTGTTTCTTGACTACTTTTCCTTTGTTCCTGCTTTCCCTGACTTCCCTTGAGATCGTTGATTACCGCGAGCTGTTCAAGGGCAAGCACTGTGGCCAGACTTAGCTCACAAAGCGGCTTAGGCCAAAAACAGCTTCTCGTATGTCAAGAAATCCATGCCTGCTTCTCTTTCTCGGGGGACCCCTACCCTATCTGCTTATAAAACGATGAAACAGCTAAACCTGTCAACATTTCCTTTTTTTTTTTCAAGATTGAACAAAAACTGTAGTGAACTCACAGGGAACAATGTGACTCCAAGGTGTGGGTTGCCACCTCCCTGCTCCTGCCCAGATCGAAGACATCTGTCGCCTGCCCAGCCCCTGGCCCACCTGCCCTCACATGAGGAGCAGCTAAACTACAAGGCCCGGAGTGCGGGCCAAAGACTCCCGGAGCGGCAGTGGAGGGAATCAAAACTCAGAGCTTTGCAACGGAGCTGCCAGGCTGCCGAGAGGCAGGCGGGGGGAGACGGCTGCAGAAGGTCACACTCAGATGGCAACTCCGGGCCCTCCGGGTCGGAAATGCCAGGCTGCACTCCCTGCAGTTGGAGCCCCTGAGGGTCCCCCCTCCCCCAGAGCACCAGCGGAGACCCTGCTTCCGTCTTGGGCTGCTTTAAGCAGCTTCTGTTTCTGGCAATTGATGAAGCGATTCTTCTGCATTTCGAGTGGTGAAGTTAATTAGCAGAAACCTGTCCGGGGCATTTGCCAATTTGTGTTAGCAACCTTTCTCAGTAAGGGAATTTACCAAAGATGTGACTATAGATTTCTTCCAGGGACACTTAATGAAATATTTTTAATCGTGAAAAATTGGAGACAACTTGAAAGTTCCACAGGAAAGAAATTGCTTACATTCATAAGATGATCTATAAAGGTCATGGCAACATATTGATGGTAGATGGGATGTTATGCAGCCTGCCGCTAAAAACACTAAATCATGTGAATTCCAAATTGGCAGAAAATGGAGTTTTTATGCAAAGAAAAAAAAACCTCTGAAAGTATATTACCCAAAATCTATTAATGTTTTATTTTGAAATAATATCACATTTATAGGTAAATTGCAAGAATAGTATAAAGAATTCTCACATCACGTCACCCAGGCTCACCAGCTGTTCCCATTTTGCCAATGGTTGCTTTATTGTGCTCTTTCTCTCTCTCTCTCTCTCTCTCTCTCACACACACACACACACACACACATTATAACTCTCTATAAAATAATATATCTTTATATTGTATAAAATTTCATGTGTGTATAATAGGTACATTGTATAATTTGTATATAATTTTAAATGAATGTATGTTTCAGATGTACACAATTTATATTTTATATGAATGACGTGTGTATAATGTATGTTATTATATACATACTATTACACGTTATTTAAAACTGTATACTTTTTTCTGAACTGTTTGATAGGAGGTTAAAGAAATCATACCCTTCTCCCCCTAGTGACCTTCATATGTTGTTCTTATTTTTTATGATTATTTTTTACTTTTTAAAATATTTATTTAATTAATTTGGTTGCGTGAGGTCTTAGTTGCGGCTTGCAGGCTACTTGGTTGTGGCTCGCTGGATCCTTAGTTGTGCCTCGTGGGCTCCTTAGTTGTGGCTTGCCAGCTCCTTAGTTGTGGCATGCGAACTCTTTTTTAAAAAATTTTTTTAACATCTTTATTGGAGTCTAATTGCTTTACAATGGTGTGTTAGTTTCTGTTTTATAAAAAAGTGAACCAGCTATACATATACATATATCCCCATATCTCCTCCCTCTTGCATCTCCCTCCCACCCTCCCTATCCCACCCCTCTAGATGGTCACAAAGCACAGAGCTGACCTCCCTGTGCTATGTGACTGCTTCCCACTAGCTGTCTATTTACATTTGGTAGTGTATATATATCAATGCTACTCTCTCACTTCATCCCAGCTTACCCTCCCCCCTTCCCCTCTCCTCAAGTCCATATTCTACATCTGTGTCTTTATTCCTGTCCTTCCCCTAGGTTCTTCAGAACCTTTTTTTTTTTTTTAGATTCCATATATATGTGTTAGCATACACTATTTATTTTTCTTTTTCTGACTTACTTCACTCTGTATGACAGACTCTAGGTCCATCCACCTCACTACAAATAACTCAATTTCGTTTCTTTTTATGGCTGAGTAATATTCCATTGTATATATGTGCCACGTCTTCTTTACCCATTCATCTGTCGATGGACACTTAAATTGCTCCCATGTCCTGGCTATTGTAAGTAGAGCTGCAAAGAACATTGTGGTAAATGACTCTTTTCGAATTATGGTTTTCTCCAGGTATAGGCCCAGTAGTGGGATTGCTGGGTCGTATGGTAGTTCTATTTGTAGTTTTTTAAGAAACCTCCATACTGTTCTCCATAGTGTCTGTATCAATTTACATTGCCACCAACAGTGCAAGAGGGTCCCCTTTTCTCCACACCCTCTCCAGCACTTACTGTTTGTAGATTTTTTGATGATGGCCATTCTGACCAGTGTGAGGTGATACCTCATTGTAGTTTTGATTTGCATTTCTCTAATGATTAGTGATGTTGAGCATTCTTTCATGTGTTTGTTGGCAATCTGTATGTCTTCTTTGGAGAAATGTCTATTTAGGTCTTCTGCCCATTTTTGGATTGGGTGTTTGTTTTTTTGATATTGAGCTGCATGAGCTGCTTGTATATTTTGGAGATTAATCCTTTGTCAGTTGCTTCATTTGCAAATATTTTCTCCCATTCTGAGGGCTGTCTTTTCATCTTGTTTATGGTTTCCTTTGCTGTGCAAAAGCTTTGAAGTTTCATTAGGTCCCATTTGTTTATTTTTGTTTTTATTTCCATTTCTCTAGGAGGTGGGTCGAAAAGGATCTTGATGTGATTTATGTCATGGAGTGTTCTGCCTATGTTGTCCTCTAAGAGTTTGATAGTGTCTGGCCTTATCCTTAGGTCTTTAATCCATTTTGAGTTTATTTTGGTGTATGGTGTTAGGGAGTGATCTAATCTCATACTTTTACATGTACCTGTCCAACTTCCCCATCACCACTTATTGAAGAGGCTGTCCTTTCTCCACTGTATATTCCTGCCTCCTCTATCAAAGATAAGGTGACCATATGTGCGTCGGTTTATCTCTGGGCTTTCTATCCTGTTCCATTGATCTATATTTCTGTTTTTGTGCCAGGACCATACCGTCTTGATTACTGTAGCTTTGTAGTACAGTCTGAAGTCAGGGAGCCTGATTCCTCCAGCTCCATTTTTCCTTCTCAAGATTGCTTTGGCTATTTGGGATCTTTTGTGTTTCCATATAAATTGTGAATTTTTTTGTTCTAGTTCTGTGAAAAATGCCATTGGTAGTTTGATAGGGATTGCATTGAATCATTAGATTGCTTTGGGTAGTATAGTCATTTTCACAATATTGATTCTTGCAATCTAAGAACATGGTATATCTCTCCATCTGTTCGTATCATCTTTCATTTCTTTCATCAGTGTCTTATAGTTCTCTGCATACAGGTCTTTTGTCTCCTCAGATAGGTTTATTCCTAGGTATTTTATTTTTTCTGTTGCAATGGTAAATGGGAGTGTTTCCTTAATTTCTCTTTCAGATTTTTCATCATTTCCGTATAGGAATGCAAGAGATTTCTGTGCATTAATTTTGTATCCTGCTACTTTACCAAATTCGTTGATTAGCTCTAGTAGTTTTCTGGAAGAGTCTTTAGGATTCTCTATGTATAGTATCATGTCATCTGCAAACAGTGACAGCTTTACTTCTTCCTTTCCGTTTTGGAATCCTCTTATCTCTTTTTCTTCTCTGATTGCTGTGGCTAAAACTTCCAAACTATGTTGAATAATAGTGGTGAGAGTGGGCAACCTTGTCTTCTTCATGATCTTAGTGGAAATGGTTTCAGTTTTTCACCATTGAGAATGATGTTGGCTGTGGGTTTGTCATATAACACCTTTATTATGTTGAGGTAAGTTCCCTCTATGAGTACTTTCTGGAGGGTTTTATCATAAATCAGTGTTGAATTTTGTTGAAAGCTTTGTCTGCATCTTTTGAAATGGTCAAATGGTTTTTCTCCTTCAGTTTGTTAATATGGTGTATCACATTGATTGATTTAAGTATATTGAAGAATCCTTGCATTCCTGGGATAAACCCCAGTTGATCATGGTTTATGATCCTTTTAATGTGCTGTTGGATTCTGTTTGCCAGTATTTTGTTGAGGATTTTTGCATCTGTGTTCATCAGTGATATTAGCCTGTAGTTTTCTTTCTTGTGACATCTTTGTCTGGTTTTGGTATCAGGTTGTTGGTGGCCTCATAGAATGAGTTTGGGAGTGTTCCTTCCTCTGCTCTATTTTGGAAGAGTTTGAGAAGGATAGGTGTTAGCTCTTGTCTAAATGTTTGAATTCACCTGTGAAGCCATCTGGTCCTGGGCTTATGTTTGTTGGAAGATTTTTTTTTTTTTTTGCAGTACACGGGCCTCTCTGTGTTGTGGCCTCTCCCGTTGCAGAGCACAGGCTCCGGACGCGCAGGCTCAGGGGCCATGGCCCATGGGCCCAGCCACTCCGGGTCATGTGGATCTTCCCAGACCGGGGCACGAACCCGTGTCCCCTGCATCGGCAGGCAGACTCTCAACCACTGCGCCACCAGGGAAGCCGGTTGGAAGATTTTTAATCACAGTCTCAATTTCAGTGCTTGTGATTCGTCTGTTTATACTTTCTGTTTCTTCCTGGTTCAGTCTGGGAAGGTTGTGCGTTTCTAAGAATTTGTCCATTTCTCCCAGGTTGTCCATTTTATTGGCATAGAGTTGCTTGTAGTAATCTCTCATGATCCTTTGTACTTCTGCAGTATCAGTTGTTACTTCTCCCTTTTCACTTCTAATTCTGTTGATTTGAATCTTCTCTCTTTTT